GGACCATCGCTTCCTTGAGTACCGCAGGGAACCGTCCCTCCACGAGGGACTTGTTAACAATCTCCCATGCGGCACCTCGAAACCCCTCGTGGCCTGCCTTAATGAGCCAGGAAGGGCACGGATCCAAGGAGCATGTGGTTGGGCGTACAGTTACGAGCAATCTGTCAACTTCTTCCAGACTGAGTGGGTTAAAACATTCCAAACCCGGCGAGGACGTGCAAGGGGCCTCAAGTTCGCTCACTGTTTCAACTGTGGCGGGGAAGTCGCGGCGGAGCATCGAGACTTTATCCGCAAAATAGCTTGCAAAAGCCTCGCAGCCTATATCCAATTCCCTACTATTTTGACTGCCCTGCGGCAGAGATGTTAAAGACCGAATTATTCTAAACAATTGGGCTGGGCGTGAGCTAGCGAACGCAATCGCGGCTGCATAGAATTCCTTCTTAGCAGCTTTGACCGCCATCTCGTAGGATTTCATAAGCGTCCTGAAGGATGTTCTTGATGCTTCGTCGCGAGCGCACCGCCACCGTCTCTCTAGCCGTCTAAGCTCCCGCTTCATAAGCCGCAACCCCTGGGTATACCAGGGGGCCAGCCTAGTGCGGGAGCGCAGAAGGCGCCGGGGAGCGATCTCATCGATAGCTGCGGAGAGCCGGTCATGCCAGTCCCCCACAAGCTCATCTAATGAGCCGCCAGGGGGGATCGGATCCCGCAGGGCCAGCTGAAGCCGTACGTGGTCCATTTGGCTCCGCGGGCGAGCTAAAAACTGCTCGCCGCCTAAACGGGGTCGGGGTGGGATGTTCAGACGGGCCTTCAGGGGATAGTGGTCCGACCATGGTAGTGGCCATAGCATGGTACTGCCATAGCAGTAATCCGGTCCACTGATGTTATTTACAGTATGCCTTTCTCACTGAGACTGAAGGCAAATTACATAATGTAAGTCAGTGCAGTCAACAGGATGGAACATCCAGTAGGCAATATAATAATAACAGGGTTGCAGAAATCTGAATCAAAACCAGCTGGCATTCCATCATGAATATTATTATGATGTACCCAGCAACTGCTAGATGTGCAAAAGGACTAGTGGCATCTTTTTGGTAATAGTGAATAGGCTGAAGAGTTATTGAATAAACATGGCTAAAGAAATTGGAAATATTTGGAGTAGATGTTTTCCCATTGCTGCATCAAATTTGGACAACGGTGGCATCTAGGTCAATTTTAATTGGTGAGCCTTTGGCACAATGACATACAGGTGTATTTTTGAGAATCTTTTTTACTGATTCTGCTGTGTTTGGTTAATTCAGAATGATGAAGAAAATACATTAAAGATTTCCTTCTAATCCTGAATGCAGATGACTTTTTTGTTATTAAAATGTGCATAATCTGAAATTTCTTTTAGTTCCTGACCAAGAAAAATACCTTGAGGTCTTCATAATGTGCAGACTCTTAAATTTAATCAATGAATCAGCCAATGAATGAAGTTAAAGGCTAAATTTAATTTGCTAGAAATTGAAAGCCACCTTGTTTGGCCATAAGAAAGAATTGAGGTGAATTTGGAGAATTTTCCTTGCAAAAGACACCTGGATGGTTTTGAGGGACTTTAGAAGAAGTGTGATAATATTCATGAAATTTCCCAGTTGGGGTGTTTAAGTTTTTTGATTGATTTAAAAAGTTTCTACCCCACCTTTTCAATAGCTCAGATTTACACATATCTCTGTTTAAGACTGAGAAAAAAATCAGTTGATCCAAATTTACTCCTGCACATGTTCTTCAAGTTGTCAGTAAGACTGAGACAAGCATCCATTTTCTTGTTGCCATGGAGATAGCAGCCAGCCTCCATGGCAGGATCCCCCCATTTTGGTTAGGAGGAGCCTATGCTTCAGCCTAGTCTGTTAATCACAGATTTATCCATTACAGGTAAGTGTGCTATCCCACTGTTCAGAGATGGGACAAGTGAAGTTAGGTTTCACACCACTTGGGGGAGAAATAAAAAGAGCTTGCTGAGAAGCCCAGGCCCTTCAAGGAGGTACTTGGGCTCAGCCGTAGGACCTATGTATTACGCGTAGAAGGTCTTGTGTTCTATCTCCAGCATCCCCACTGTGTGGAGGAAGACCTTTTCCCACCTGAGACCTTGGAGAGCTGCTGGTGGTCAAAGCAGGAGAGAGTGACCTAGATGGGCCAAAGATATGGCTCCATCTATGACAGCTTCCTATGTACATGATTATAAGAACTATACACAATATCTGCCTGCAAGGAGAAGTGATAGTGAATGGGTAGGATTGCAGAATGGGTAGGGTCTGGATGCCTCCTGACCTGGTATTCTTCCAGCTCGTCTTTCTTCATGGACTGACTGGAGCACTGGCCCATCCTCTTGCCTGGAATTTCAACGGCCAGAAGAAGAATGGAACCAAATTTCTGGTAATCCATGGCAACCAGATAACACAGAACCATTCCAGGCATCATCCAGGTTTCACAGGCTCTGCATGGCTTCTCTTCTTCAAATGCTCATAAGCCCCTTTCAACTTGTTTCAGAGGCACATGCACAAGAAGCAGAAAGTGTGCCATTGAGTGCTTACTATTTTTGCTCTTTGACTAATTAACTGAGGTAAGAAGTTACCTTGTGGTCTCAGTTTCATATCTGAAGAAAAGCAGAGACCAACAAGTAAGATGTAGAAGAAGGAGAGGTTGGATTTATACCCCACCCTTCACTCAGAGTCTCAGAGCAGCTTACAAACTCCTTTCCCTTCCCCTCCCCACAACAGACACCCTGTGAGATAGGTGGGGCTAAGAGAGCTCTTTTTAGAACTGCTGTTTCAACTATGACTTGCCCAAGGTAATCCAGCAGCTGCAAGTGAAGGAGTGGGGAATCAAACCCAGTTCTCCCAGATTCGAGTCCGCACACTTAGCCACTACACCAAACCACTACACCAAACAACAAGGGTTGCCAACATCCAGGTGGCGGCTGAAGATCTTCTGGAATTACAACTGGTTTCCAGAGTACATAGATCCATTCCCTTGGAGAAAATTGCTGCTCTGAAGCATGGACTCTACGACTTTATACCCTGCTGAGGTCCCTCCCTCCCCCAAACCCCACCCTCCCCAAATCTCCAGGTATTTCCCAAACCAGGACTGGCAACCCTAAAACGACCTGTTGGATATTGTAACTCTGCATGCAAGAGGATATGGGAGGGAAAGGGAGGATATAGGAGGGAAAGGGGTAAGAGAATTCTCTGACTGGGGTACACTTGGCAGTTGCCCCCCCCCACCCCATCATTTAGATGTTGAGCCTCTTTGGCCATTGCTTGCCTCCTGTTTCATCTTACATAGGACCAGTTTGGTGTAGTGGTTAAGTGCATGGACTCTAATCTGGGAGAACTGGGTTTGATTCCCTACTCCTCCACTTGCAGCTGCTAGATGACCTTGGGCAAGCCATAGTTCTGACAAGTTCCTCTTCTTCTCTCTTCTTCTCTATGTTACATGGGGTTGGAGCTGTAGCAAGTTAACCTTTTTTGAAGTTGATCTGTTCAAAATAAGTTAAATGTACCTACATGAATGTCATGTAAGTCGTGCTTCTATTTTTGCAAGTAAAATTTCTTTATCTTGTTGCCATTGAGTCAGATCATCTTTGTAATCTGTTTTCCCCATAACTGGAAAAAGCGGAGGATTGAGGATACTGTGTAAAGCTTCTGTGCTTGATTATTTTTTTTACATTTAACCCAATAGGTTATGAGCCCAGAGTCTATCAGAAGCTTAAATAAAGCTTAATGTTTAAAAAGGACAAAGTCTTTGATTAGCAGATCCCCTTGTGTTTAAAAATTCGCCATTGTTCTTCCCCATGTTGCTGTGATAAGGATGTCTGAATCAAGCAGATATTTGGAGATCATAAAACTTACTGCTGAGAACTATAGAAGCTGGCTTATAAAATTTCATATACTCCTTGACGCAAAAGGAGCTGCTGGAATCCTAGATTAAGAAAAACCAACAGAGAAAGGCAAGGAATTGGACTCTTGGATAATCAAAAATGGGATTGCCAAGAACATTATTATGGGATCATTGGATGACAGGGAGACTTTCATGTATGAAAATTCCCAGACAGCAAAAGAAATGGTTAAGACCCTAGAAGAGTTTTTTTTGTTTCTAGTATTAAATCACAAGGAATATGGATAACTTTGCAAAACAATGTTACACAACTTCTCAAGGTACTCAGTTGCATATCTGCTGAAGCAAAAGAATGACATTCACAAATTCCTCAAGAGATACGTTGCTATGGTTTCTAACAAGTTTGGAAGAAAGCCTCAAATACTGCAGACAGATAACGGTGGTGAGTTTATATCACATCACACACAAACCTTCTTGGCAGAGGAAGACATCCTGCACAGGAAGTTGGTGAGCTTTACACCTGAGCAAAATGGCACTGCTGAAGGGAAACTGAGATCTTTACTGGAGATGAGCAAATGTATGTTCATGGATGCAGGCCTACTGAATAAATGGTAAGGTGAAGCAATCCTGACTGCAAACTATCTCCAGAACAGAGTACCCATTGAGGTACTCTCTCACTGGGGTACACCTGGCCATTGGCCCCACCCTCTCATCTGTTAGATGTTTGAGCCTCTTTGGTCCTTGATTGACTTCTGTTTCATCTTATGTAGGACCTGTCTTCTCTCTCTTACCTGGGCATGTAACAAGTTAAGCTGTAACAAGTTAACCTTTTTTGAAGTTAATTTGCTCACAATAAGTTAAATGTACCTACATGAAAATAATTTGAGTGGCACCTTTAAGACCAACCAAGTTTTATTCAAGGTATGAGCTTTTGTGTGCA